AAAAGAGGAAGACCAAAGAACACATTACGCCGAGAAATGGAGATAGACATGAGAAAAATGAACAAGAATTGGATGGAACTAGAAAAGAAAGCCCAGGACAGAGTGGGTTGGAGAACGCTGGTCGGTGGCCTATGCTCCATTGGGAGTAACAGGCGTAAGTAAGTAAGTAAGTAAGTTGTCATACCTCATTAACACAACAAGATGAACACCGGATTCATAAAAGTAGTTAATTCAGTTGTGGTAATATATAAAAGAAAGATTGCATATGAGGATATAGTACAGGAAGAAAAAAATTAGTACGTAGAAAGATATGAAGCGATTTTAATCTCATAGTTTAAAGGAAGACAGAGAGTGTATACACCGACGCCATTGTGATCGATTCTGTGTCATGTCAATCAGAGTCTCGAACCATTAGTTGCGATAGTCGCGCGCATATATCAAAATAAAATGTTGGCTATAGGATGTAGATAATTACGTTTTGAATGACCAAGATATTACTATCATAACCAATGGTTGGAGACTCTAGGTGACATGGCAGAGAATCGATCACAATGGTGTAGGTGTATACACTCTCTGTTTTCCGTTAAACTAAGAGATTAAAATCGCCTCATATCTTTCTTTGTATGAACTAATTCTTTCTTCCTGTTCTATATCCTTATTGCCATCTTTATTTTATATATTACCACCTCTGAATTAACTACTTTTATGAATCCGATATTCATCTTCTTGTGTTAATGAGGTATGGCAACTTGGACCGATGCATATATGTGCTTGGTCCTACGTTGTAGATGACTGACTGACTGAAAAATTATAATTAGGTGACAGACTTTTAATTTAAAGTTATGATTTATCATTAGGGTATATATAGATTAAATGTAAGACCTAATCCTAATCCTTAAACATTAATCCTAACTGAAATAGTGAATATTAAATTCTAAATCTTAATCTTAACTATCATCTTTATATTTATAAACTGTACATCCCATTCCTAACCCTGAAAATCATAGACTTTAAATTCTAAGCAAAGATGAATAGTGGCTAGCAGTGGAATCCAGGACGTGCGTTTCGTCCTGTTTGGGACTCGTCAGTTGGATGTACCTACATCTCAGAGTTGATGTTCACTCCGGGACTCGAACTCAGTACCGATCAATTTCAGTCCTAAAACATCAATGGGAAGATTTAAGTAAAAACAATATCAAGTGGATCTAAATTCTAAGCCTAAATCCTAGTTCTATTATTATACATCATTCATTCATTCATTCATTTATACTTGTTGATTTTCGATTAGCTGAATAAGGTCCAGAGTTTGCTAAGGTTATTTTAAGTGTCCATTTAACTCGTTTACATTACTAAGATTTACCGTTTAATAATATGACTTTGACTGATGATATATTTTAATCATCTGTTGATAAGACTATAATTTATGGACGACCTTCGTGTGACGCTGACGTGATCTTGAGAATCGACGTCTACTGATTAGGATTCAATGAGGGTTATAAACCAATTAGAATTATGATTTACAGTTGATGGTTAAGGTTATGAATTAGATTTAAGGTTTTCATCATGAACTGTGACATCAGTTATAATGACAAGACTCTATTTAGGCAAATAGATGATGAATGAATTTCACGCCAAAATCCAAGATCTGTTATCTTATACTTGATTGATACATCCATAAATTATCGTCTGGCCTATCACATTAATCAAGGTAATGTGATACATTTTGTGGACGTTTTCTTTTCATCATTTTCAATGAGTTGTGTTTCATTTATAACTTAGAGATAAAATTGAAATCAATACACTGTCATATCATTCTCAACATGAATTTAGTTAGCCTATGCCGACAACATTAAGTAATATTGCGGGCAAGCCCCTAACTTGGAATCCTGAAGGGAAACGAAAAAAGAGGAGGTCATAGAACACATTGCGTCGGTAATTGGAAGCAGACATGAAAAAGGATGAATAGCAACTAGAAAGAATTGGAAAGCAGTGTCCATGACAGAGTTTAATTGTAGAATGCTGGTGAGTGACCTATCTTCTCCATGAAGGGTAACAAGTGCAAGTAATTAGGTAATACATTATTTATTTTAATACCATACAAAGCGATTTGCTGTGAACTTAACTCTCGTCATATGTTATGTTATTGATATGACAAGATGAAAAGTCAAAATTAGATTGTAGTAATTTCAATGGTTAAGATCATGAGTCAGTTGAAGCTAGACCACCATGGAAAAGCTGGAAGCACTGCAGGGCCGTTAGATTGATTTACTCATTACTTCTGTTTTCTAATTCAATGTGATAATTACTTAGTATAGTATTTGTTACTGTTTTCCTGTATGAAATACAGGAACATGAACATGAACTATACTCAGCATATGATTTGTTATAACTAAGTATCAAAAATCGATGTATGAATCAATATATAAATGAGTGTATTTTTGACTAGACTTGTCATCGAGGTTGTTCATACTTCTGGCTGTTTGTGGAATATATTTCCCTCTTCCTAATTTTAACTTTCACTCTAGTTAGTGGGGCTGGGACATGTCGGAATAGCTAGCTTAACTGTCGTAGTGTCACAGAGTCTTTGTTCCGTTCTCTGATAAGGTGAACTCATACATAACAGTTATAATATAAGTGCCACATTCCTAAATGAAAGTCGATCAGAATATAACTACTACTTAATGTATTTTTAGTTGAAACCCATACATATGTGATCAGTCGTGATAAAGAAAAAATTTGTTATTACTTTATACCAACTTAAATGAGTTGTAGCACATTCGAAGGGATACTTTATCAATCTGTACTTTCGATGATCATATTGTTATTATTAAGTGTTAACCATTACTTTCATTCATTCACTAAACATATGTGCGTATTACGTGCTCACGTTTTTGTTCGTTCGTTAAGATTCAGATACATGTCACATAAGTCATTTGACTTGTGTGATGGCTGGGATACTGCCAGGCGTTCAAACCGAAGCAGGCGGTTTCTTCAGAAAGCCACTTTCCGACCCTGTGACCTAGAGGTACAATCCACAAGGCAGTGGAACAACGTTAGCAAATGCAGTCCCATGGTAGCCGGTGACCAATAATTGATTCATGCACCATTTGCTTAGTCAGTATTCTGGAGCTCATGAGCACCATTTGTTTGGAAACAAGGTTTCCCAACTCTCCTAGGTGGACTCTCCATGTCCACCGACCCGATTAAAGCGCCAGACATTCGCTTCTCATCCTTTCAATTTTGTAATGAGTAGGACTTCTCTGGCAGTAGTTGTATGTACGTGGCCATGTGATAGTGTTTCGAGAGGGAGAGCTAATTTTCTTTACTCTCGGTCGTACCAGGGTATCGTCAAGATTCTCATACCCGTGAATTACTGCATACAATATACTTGTAAATCGTACTCAGTCAGTCAGTACCAACGTAGAACTTCGTACGTACGTACGTACGTACATCACTTCGAGTTGCCATAACACATTAGCACAGAGATCCAGTTGTCGATTCAAATCCCATAGTGGTACAGGTAGTAAGAGTATAAGCAGTAATCGGAAACATTAGGGTTTGAAGATGTTATTTAAGGAGTATAATCCAGTGAAATAAATTTGGAAAGAGAAAAGACGGGAAACGGAGAATTCAGAAGACTAGAATTCGGGGGAACATAAAGAGTGGATGCACCTGTGCCATTGCAAACCAGTTTGAGCCATGTCGTCCAGGGTCTCTAATCATTGGTTACTGTCATATCCGAGCGAAGATTAAATCATGAGTAACTTCTGAGACCTATTAATGGACTAATATTATTTATATATTCTTATGGTATAAATATTCAATAATTAGATTATGTATATTTATATTTCTCTTATTATAAGCTTTATTTTGACCTAAAATTTATTATTATACGATTTACTGTTCTTAAGTTATGTTCAGTTTATTGACTACTGCCTTCCACGTTTACAGTCACTTTTTGGCTTTATTGTGTACAAATGTTATTTCTTATTTAATGGTGCGTTGCGGTCTGTTTGTTTGATATATAAACCTAGTATGTCTGAAATAAATGATTCGATTTGATTCTCATAGCATAGTGGAAGCTGGTATTGGTGTTCTGGACTCAAGTGGACGGGTTAGGAGAACGTCATGGGTTTTGGCACAGTGCGGAGATTGTATAAGTCTCATTTTGATTGGTGGATAGATCACGTGATAAAAAGCCGGACATAAAGTCATAACAGCTACTATCATCTCATGGTCCCCAACCAGGTAGTCTACACGTACCGACATGACTCAGCCCACTTGTCAGTGACTTCACGGATTTATGCCATGTTTTTGGTCTGGATGCCCCTACTTTTCTTCCAACCTACTCCTACACCATTGGACATTGCACTTTGAGGCAGTCGGTCGTTGGGCATACGTAACACGTGTCCCAGCCATCTCAACTAATGAAGTTGCAATACTTCATCAATTGATTTGCCATCCTTACCTAGTACCCCTTTCCTAACAACTGCATTACTTGCTCGGTGATCCGAGGATATACGAGCAACGCTTCGAAGACACCTATGATCAAATACTAGTAACCTACGAATATCCTCTATTCTTACTGGCCATATTTCACTGCCATTGAGTAGGACGGAACGAACTGGGTCACTGTAAACTCGTCCTTTGGTTGGTAGACGGGTATCTCGCCTACGCCATAAATGACGCAAGTTGGCAAAAGCTAGTCGAGCCTTCTGTATCTGTACTGAGATTTCTTCACACACCAGACCACAAGGGCTAATGAAACTCCCAAGATAAATGAAGCAGTTGACACACTCAACTACTTCACTCCTTATCATTAGTTCCGGTGTCGAATCTAAACAACAACAAACCTCAACAATACATACTAAAATGATAGTATACACATTAAGTACTATTCGACAGACCGATAAATTATATTTAAAAACAATCAAATTAAACATAGATACTATCACACAGAGAGACAGAGAGAGGGTACGAAAAGAAGTAGTTTAACATACCCTTCAACAGTATTATTTTGAATATTCGTTATATTTGTCATATCCACATCATTTTCCTCTGTGGATGAATTCAACTTATTTGTGTTATGATTACCAAATGAGAGTTGACCAGTATTATTGTTATTATTACCATTATTGTTATTATTATTATTATTATTACTATTTTTATTGTCTTGATTCATGTTGGAATTCATAAAATTCGATTTTGAATTTGACAACATAAAAGATGATTGTTGATTATTAGGAAAAATTGATGAATTCATATTATTATTATTATATGAATCTAAAAAATTACTATTCGATAATCCATAATTATTTGAATTCATATGATTAAATCCATTTGTACAGTTAATTGATGATGAAGATGAGGCTACTGCGGCCGCTGCCGCTGCTGCTGTTGATAACATCGAAGATGATGATGATGATGATTGTAAATTGCCAAGATTAAGTAATGATGGTGTAGTTGATGTTAAATAACGTAAACGTACTGGTGGACTATGTTGTGTAAGAAATTGCATAACAGCTGCATTTGTTTCATTCCAATCTAATTCTGGTGTAACATGACCAGCGCGTACTTTACGTTTTGTTTTTGATACAAGGTTTTCCCATTTTTTCTTGACCTGAAAATAGCAAAAAAATATTAAACAATTAGTTTATTCAATAAATTAAATGAATCATTATCAGAAAGGGAGCTTTTGTGGAGTTTATAGTAATTTTTGATATCAGAAGGGGTATTGTGGAGATTGTAATAATTTCAATAGTTGAGATCATGAGTCAATTGAAGCTAGACCACCATGGAAAACCTGGAAGTACTGAACGACCATTTCGTCCTACTATGGGACTCCTCAGCAGTGTGCTTATCATCTGTTCACTAGTGACTAACATCAAGAGGTAGTTCCTGGAGTTCTAGTGAGAAGCGGTGACTATTGGAGTTCAACCGAGTCTGTTGCGAGATAATGACTGACTGAAGAAAATGTTGGACAGTCGCACAGTGTTGTGGATTGGTAGGAGCTAGACATTCACACCGTTGGATGCCTGCCGGCTCAGTGATCTAGAGGTTAAGTGTTCGCACATGAGACCGATAGGTCCCGGGTTCGAATTCCGCGTGCGGGATCGTGGATGTGCACTGCCACCGAGGAGTCCCACAATAAAACGAAACGGCCGTCCTGTGCTTCCAGGTTTTCTATGGTAGTCTAGTTTTAATTGAATCATGAATTCACCTAATAAAATATATTTTTTGTTTTTAGAAAATATACATTATTCTAAATCCCATTGGAAGGTATTGTGGTGGTCGGTATTCGATATATCCCTTAAACTTCGTATACAATTCGTCTTGATAACCGTCCTATTTAACCCCAACGGTGTATTATTCAGAAGGCGAATACGAAGCGTTGATTACGTTTATTTCGAGACCACACACACAGATGTCCAAAATTACAGATGCATTAAACGAGCATTAAGAGTTGTGTCGAACGCCAAACAGGCAAGCGAGCGACTGAGCGAATGTAAGTAATCGAGTACAATCAAGCGAGCGAGAAAGCAGAGTCAACCATATGAATAACGTGGACATATATATAGCATGTGAAATTAATGAGTAATCGAATCAAATAAGCGGTTAGTAGTGAGACTAGGAGAGTGAACAAATGCGTAGGCCGTAAGCAATATTCAAGCATGCGTATTTCATACAAGCACAAAATAATAATAAGGGTACAATAAATTGTTATAGTGCGGATGGCTTTGTCCGCTAAATAAGTTAGCAAAAAAAGGGCTTAACTGAGTTAAATGAGAATAAACCCATTTGCACGTGAGTTGCTATAGTATGAATTAACGTTGAAATTGACGAAAATTAAAATATCAGTAACAATTTATAAGAAGTCGTGTAGTGAACAAGAACACACAACTGGGGACAACCAAATGTATTTGGACACAACATTACAGAGTTTCTTACTCAAATCTGAGAAAACCATACAGTAAATAATTCACCTGTAAAGTGTCAATCAATTATCTCAGACTTCATTGTCTCTTCGTTTCTATACTAATCATTCCTTGTTCTTCTTTTCTTTACTTTGATCTTCTTAATCTTCTGCCTCCAAACATTTCACTTTCGATTGGTGATACATACTACTTATATCTGTCAACAAATCAGTAGCACACACTAGCTGGACCAAAGTTTCAGTGAACAGTCAATTGTGTTTTTTTTTAGAGAATAATACGTATAATGAATAGAGGGATAAATCATTATCGAAAAGGAAAATCATATCGGATTCGAGACTAATGGATAACACCTTCAATATTGAACACACACAACATTCGACTAGCTATAAGACTATTTATCCGTCTCAGTTATCGAGTACTGTGTTAGGGTTTTGTATGAGGAAGTGAAAAGCTCTACATAACAATGTTTCCTTATTTCAGTCTAAATCGATTAAAACCACAGATTATCAACATATATTAATATGGAATAAAGTAATCATGCGAATACATGTACGCAGTTGAAAGAGTACATTCTCCGAAAACACTATTTTATTTATTCATTTGAACATACAAATATCGGTAATAAGGTGGCATTAAATATAGATGCGCCACACAATAACAATGAGGTTGTGAAGGGACAGAGAATGTAAAGTGCATTTAATAAGAAGAACAAAAACAAGTGTATGAGAGTGTATGAGAGCCAGTGTCGCATCACCTCTAGGACCCCAATCAGGGAGTCGTGAAGGACCAACACAAGCCAGTCCTTTACAGCTTCCTTTCATACCACGACACCATGTCATACACTGACCACCTCTCCCCTTCTTCCAACCAGTCCCAGAGTCGGCAAATAATGCACGACGTGGAATTCTCTGGGACGACATTCGTAGAACATGTCCAAGCCACCGAAGTCGGTGTTTCAAGATGGTGACACCGATTGCATTATCATGTCTGTGCCCGAACACACGATGCCGAACCTCTGCATTACCAACATGGTGTTGCCACTGAATGTCAGCAATCCTTAGGAGACAACGATGATCGAACACAGTGAGTCGTCTAACGTCCTCAACTCGGAGAGGCCAGGTTTCACAAGCGTAGAGCAAAATTGCTCTCACCGATGCGTTGTCGATCCGACCTTTTACAGTCAGACTAACATCACGATGGCGCCAAAATGGCCTAGATTGGCATAAGTCGCTCTGGCTTTCACTGTACGAAAATTGGCCTCATCACTCAGGCCACCACCAGCACTTACGTAGCTACCCAGATACACGAACTTCTCGACTATTTCCATCTGCTCACTACCCACAGTTAGTGCAGGATCAGGGTCCTCCAAGCCTGATAAAAGTACTTTGCACTTGGAAGGTGCAAAGCACATACCGTACCAATGGAAAATGATTGCCAACTGATTAAGTGCGGATTACATGGCTTATGTATCAGCGCATAGTAAGACAATATCATCCGCATACTTAAAGCCAAAAAGTCTTCAGGCAACAAAAACAGATCTATACCTCCATTACCTACATCCACCAGAGGTGTTACCCAAACGTCATCGATGGCGTTAGGTGGACCAGTCGTCACGAGTCATGGAGAGCAGGACGGTGTTGTCGGAGCAGCAGGCCAGTTGAACTACTTCTTGAAAAAACTTTGTCCATCATCCAATACGTCGGTAGATGTTAGCGATTGGCATCCCCTCATATTCACAGGATGTTTCACTCACACCAGACTTCTTGTTGCCGGTGACTCGATTGAGTTGAAAGAGCTTCCGGCAGTTACCGGATACAGCAGCTGCTTCCAACTAGTTAGCACGCTCCGACCACCAGTCTTCTCAGTCCTTACGTAAGCTTTGCCCGATCTCATTACGTAACATCCTTCGTTTGTGGTCAAACTCACGGTCACCCGGAGTAGACCGACGGGCTTCAATGAGTTGTAAGGATCCAGAAAAAAAACCCAGTGCTTATAAACGGGACGTTTCGCGAAGCTGCAAGCGGCTTTACTCGCCATTTTCATGGCGTCATGCAATTGCAACCGATACTCATCTATACTTTTCGGTAAAATGGTGGCTAACCTTGAACCTAGTTCGGTTTGATATTTAGTTGCAACAGAAGCTGCAATCAGTTTACTGACATCGATCCGTGTAGAACGATGAATTGGTTGGCCACTGAAATGTAAGGTAAGATCAGCTCAAACGAGGACATGATCAGAGTCTAGATAGGTACTCCAAAAGGAGCAGCAGTCTTGCACACAACCACTCCAGCGGTAGGCGATCGCGATGTGATCTAGGTTTGAAATGCAGAAAGAGGACACCACGTAACATCAGTGATGACTATGCCAGTAGTTAGTGTTAACCAGAAACAGGTTGTATTCTGCAGAGTTGCAGCAGACGGTCACCGTTATCTGACCTGCGATCAACAAGTCATCATCGGTCACCTAAATGACTCTTTCTATGCCTAGATGCCCAACCTGAGAATTGACGTCTCCGGCTAATACTAGTGTCTGTCGAATGCACTTTCTGTAGAAGAACAATTAACTAGTGGTAAGACACTACTGAATTAGTAATATAGAATTAGTTTTAATGATCAAATTGTGATATAATAAACTTTAAATTTAACCAAATTATAACATCGAGTACAAATTTATTCACTCATTTCAATGTGAATGATCTAGATATTCTCTGGAATAAGTTTAAACCTATTTACATCCTATTTTCCCGATTCTCATTGGCTTTGATGATTTGAACAACATCAACTTGAACTAATATACCCTTATCTCACGTCATATTTTGTCAATACTCAACTGAATGATTTGTTGAACAGCAATTCAATCCTCACATGATCATCATTTATATGACGGATAATCTTAGCTGTACATAATCATCAATTTTAAAGTAGTTTACATTCTACATATATAGCAGTCAATCGGTCCTGATACAGCCGAAAGTGGGGAGAGTAAGCTCTCCCTCTCGAAATGCTCACATGGCCGCGAGTATATAGAAAATGTCAGGGAAGTCCTACTCACTGCCCTCTCACACCACGGGTGTTGTTTACGAAATTGAGAGGGTAAAAAGCGAATTTCCAGTGCTTTAACCGGCTTGGTGGACACGGAGAGTCCACCTAGGGCGGTTGGAAAACCCTCATTCCAAACCACTGGCGCACATGGGCTGGCTCCAGTATCCTGATGGAACAAATGGCGTATGAACCAATTGTCGGTCACTGGCTACCATAGGACTGAATCTCCTAACGTTGCTCCACTGCCTTGTGGATTAGACCTCTAGGTCGAAGGCTCCGAGTATGGCCCCCTAAGAAAACCGCATGTTTCTTTTTTGACACCCGGGCAATATCCTAGCACTCATACAAATCGAATGATTTATGTTGTGGATATCTATTTGGTGCCTCCCTGTGCCTACGTTTATGTGTTTTAATAAATAACTACAGTGATTGTAACTACTTCAAAGTATAACTTTTAATTGAATTCATAAATCAGTTCAAGGTAGATCATCATGGAAAACCTGGAAGCACTGGACAGACGTTTCACCCTAGTACGGGACTCTTCCCACTCTGATTATAACTTTTAGATTCAATCCCTACAACAATTGAAAAGTTTTAGAATAGAATGAAAACGACTGTACAATCCTATACGACCGGTGTTGGAGATGTTTGGAAGAAAGTTAGGGGCGGTCAAACCAAAACATGGTATCAGTGCTTGAAGTCACTAACTTCTAGTCTGAGCCATGTTGGGTGATGCAGACTACTTGGTTGGTGTCCGGCGTGACTATCGTAACTAGTGGTTGGAGACGATGGGTGACATGGGCTCAGAATCGATCACAATGGCGTCGGTGTATACACTCTCTGTCTTCTCTTAAACTAAGAGATTAAAATCGCTTCATATCTTTCTTTCTATGAACTAATTCTTTCTTCTTGTACTATGTCCTTATATGCAATCTTTCTCCTATATATTACCACGATTGACTTAACTACGTCCATGAATACGGTGTCTATCTCGTTGGTTTACTGAGGTATGGCAACTTGGACCGATGCATCTATGTGCCTGGTCCTACGTTGTAGCTGACTGACTGACCTATACGACCTTTATCAACAGACTCATATGAATGATTGTAAAAGAAAGAAAGAAAAAAAAAGGTGTTTATTATCAAACAAACTTACTTGATCAGCTGTTCTTCTTGGTGCATGTGGCCAACGATTTGCCATACATACAGCAACTTCTTCCCATGCTCTACGTTTTAAACGATTTGTTGATGGTGATAATGATAATAAGATATGTTTTCTTGCTTCAATTTCTTTTAACATTACTTTCACTTCATCAATAACAAATGTTTCAGCACGTTTACTTGGATTCATTAATAATGATGCAACATCAGCATGATTCATAGATGTAACAAATTGTCCTGTTGTTACATTATTAATACCATTAACAACATTATCTAATGTTGTCATTAATGCGCCAACATTACCAATTCCTCCTTGTGTAGATGATGATGATGATGATGATGTGATATTCATATGGTTATTATTAGTTAAACTTTGTGAAATTGATGGAATTAATGAAAATTGTGGTTTTATATCACATGGTTCAAGTTGATATTGACATGGATTTTGTTGAAGAAGTTGCTGTTGTTGTTGTTGTTGCTGTACTGATTGTTGAGATGGTAACTGAACCGATTGACTTAATGAAATCGGTTGAAATTGGGCCATTTACTACTACTAATTTTGTTCTTGTTTATTGTTATGGTTGTTTTGTTCTGTTGTTTTTTTTCCTCTCATCAATGATATAAAGGCGTCATGAATGTTTAAACTTGATTTCTATACTGGGTTAACTGGTTAAATGATGATAGTAACTTAGTATATAGTAATAGAATAAGTGAATGAGTGAGTGAATGAGTGTGTGTGTGTGTGTGTGTGTTTAGTTATCTTCTTTTCTTAACTTAACTATGGTTGGTAGATTGAATACTTCGCTTCACACTAATCAATAAGTCTAGTGAAGGACGAAGTTTAGCTTGAATTTGGTTGGTTAGTGAAGTTAATGTTGGTGGTTAAGTTAAGAGAATAAGTTGAAGAGAGAAGTTAAGAGGGCTTTGTAAGAGAAAGAGAGAGAGAGAGAGAGAGAGTAATACATAGATAGTCACATAGAGAGAGATAGATAGAGAGAGCGATAGAATGATAATAGACTGATTGATAAGTAGATAGATAGACAGGCAGGCAGTCAGGCAGACAGATGGATGGATAGACCAACAGACATAAAACAAACGAAATCAAATAATGATAAATTGAAAGGGGGAGTTAGAAAAAAATAATAATAAAACCAGGTCTGATTAATTTAGATCAGTTTTTTTTAAAACCCTGTTTACATAGATCAAAACACCTAACCTCTTGTTGTTATATCCCATTGTCTACCAACTATTAAACAAAAATGATCTTCTGAAGATTTTAGTAATTTCAATAGTTGAGAACAATTGAGCCAATTGAAGCTAGACTATCATGGAAAATCTGAAAGTACTTGATGGCCGTTTCGTCCTGTTGTGGGACTCTTCAACAGTACGCATTCATGATCCTGCCTCACCGTCAAGTTTCTTCCACGTTTACCATGATAGTTTAGCTTCAATTGACTCAATTGATCTCAACTATTGAAATTAATAAAATCTCCAGAAGGCCCCCTTCTGATACTAATCAACATATGCTCACTAGTGACTGGCTTCAAGAGGTATTTCCTGGAGTTCTAGTGAGAAGCAGTCATCAATCGAGTTCAATCTGGTTTGTTGTGAGATAGTAACTAACTGAAGAAAATGGTGGACAGTCTCACAATGTTGTGGATTGGCAGGAGCTAGAAATTAACACCGTCGGATGCCAGTCTAGAGGTTAAGCGTTCTCACGTGAGACCAGTAGGTCCTGGGTTTGAATCCCACGAGGTGGGATCGTGGATGTGCACTGCCACTGAGGAGTCCCACAATAGGACGAAACGGCCATCTAATGTTTCCAGGTTTTCCTTGGTGGTCTAGCTTCAACTGACTCATGATCTGAAGCATTTAAAAAAATTATCAGAAAGGGGTTTTGTGGAGATTTTTGCTAGTTTTATAGTTGAATTCATGAGTTAATTAAACCTAGACTATCATGGAAATCCTGGAAGAAATGAACGGCCGTTTCTTCCTAGTATGAACTCCTCAACAGTGCATATCCACGATCCCGCACACGGGACTCCACCTCAAGGCATTCGGTTTCTCTTGGGAACGCTTAACCTCTAAACCACTGAGCCGACAACCAACGGTGTTAATGTCTAACTTCGATCCATGAATGACTGTACAACCATTCATACATTATCTGAGATAGATAGATACCTGTCTCTACCTGACGCGAATTGAACTCCACTAGTCACGGCTTCTCATTAGAACTCCAGGAAATCATCTTGAAGCCAGTCACCAGTGAGTACATGATGATTATTATCAGTATGAGGTTGTGGAGATTTTTAAGAATCTGCATTGTTGAAGAGTCCCATACTAAGACGAAACGGATGTTCAGTGCTTTCAGATTTTCAATAGTGGTCTAACATCAATCGATTCATGATCTTAATCAATGTAGTTATCATCATCTTTGAGAATAGGAGTAAGTATCAACTATTGAAGTATTTAAGTAATCAATATTTTGTATTTATTATCTAAATTGTAAAAAAATAATTAGGCAATTAGATTGAATCTTTTGAAATCCAAATGAAAACATAAGAAGATAATTAGTTCAACGTAAGAGAATGTACGTTGAAAAATCACTTCATATCTTTCTTTCTAAGTACTAATTCATCCTTCTTGTACTATATCCGTATATGCCATACTTCTTTTATATATTACCCCCACTGAACTAACTACTTCTATGAATCCGGTGTTCATCTTGCTGTGTGATAAGTCTTGCGGATTTGAACGCTATATTCGTCTCCTAAGCAATTCTGTAACCTCCAAGCTAGAACTATACAGCGACCTGAACACAAGAGAGAAGACGCAAAGTATGCGAGAAGTACTTTACTCAAAGGTTCATTTTAATACAGAAAATACAGGGTTTTTATAATATTTTAAATGTCCTTGGGTTACTAGAAGATTCTGGAATGCTACTAAACATAGTAGCAGTGTAGCAACCAGTCAATCAGAACCTCTACATGCGACGTTTCGCTTCCTTGGTATTTTTGATAAAAACTTCAAGTGAACACTGATTGGACGAAACGCTTCTTAGTGATTCCTGATGCTTGCTTGTCTTTTGCAAGCAATTTTCTGGATCACTCCAACACTGTGCTAATGAGGTATGATAACTTGGACCGATGCACATATGTGTCTGATCCTACGTTATAGCTGACTGACTATCTGACTGGTTGACTGAAAAGGATGTACAAGAAGGAACTTATAAGAAAATCCTACACAAATGTTGTCAGAAATAGGATCTTAACATACATTAATCTTCCATTTCAGATTAGCAACAAAAAAACAGAAGGCTAAAAGACCTACTAGGATATTATAATATATATTTGTATAATCTCAATAATATTCAATTGCTAACACTTTGTAACTTAGTGTAAGTCTCTACTTTTACTGAAAATAAGTAAATGAATGAATTAAACACAAGTGTAAATACACTGACGAGTTCGAACTAGGACGAAACGCACGTCCTGGATCCAACTACTAGCTACTATTCACCTTTGCTTACAAGTGTAAATAGTATAGAGGAATTGATTAAAACATTTAATACAGACTGACTATACTTATGTCATGTCAATCAGGTCAAAGGTGATTCTATCTGTGACACACATATATGCATCTCTGATTGGGTGTGACATTGTAATGATAAAGAAAGAAATAGGGTTCATTTTTTGTATGTCAGTGATCTGTGATTTGAACACATTAAATGTAGTTGTTTGATAAATGGTCTATGTTTGATGTATAGTTAGGTGTTGTTTTCTTTTGAGCTTTAGTGTGCATTAGTAATATGTGAAAAGCTTCAGTCACTTATCCTTGAAAAAATATTTTGTAGATAATCAACGATGATTATCTCTGTCGAATGATTGGGGGATCTTTTCGAGTTAGACAGGAATCATGCGATGAACCAGCTAATTTCGAAGTCATACTTCACGATCATCATCTAACATGGATTACCCCCCCCCCCCTTCGATGTATTAATGTACTATGTCTGCTTTGAAGACTGTATAACACAAAGGACGTTATTACGGAGATAGATTAGTAAGAATAAGTACAAAGAAGATAGCGAGACCACCACCGTATGGACCAGTCCATGGCATACAATTAACTGATGTGTTTCCTTGACTTTGACGATGATCGATGATCTGTTCGATATTCAGTGACCCAACAGTCGGATGATTTGGCTAGGGCTCAGTGACATTTCACTGGCCCTACAATATCATTTGAATTATTTTGATATTTTTTTAACTATCGCTTTGATGGTTGTAATAGTGTTACTACTTATTTAGTTTGTAGATTTTCGAATTCTACTGGATTATTAGATCGTTTTTGTGTAGCTTAAATATTCCTTGGTATGAGTCGAGATTTCATAAGAAGTCTCTCTATTATAAAAGACGTCACAATCTACACAACTCAATCTGTCAAAAAAAAATCTGTGTTGAAGTAAATGAGGTCTCTCCATTTATTTGAATATTGGCATTAAAAGTATATTAGTCGTTTTATAGAATACTTTAATTCTGTATTGGTTTAAGGTTTGTAGCTTTTCTGTTGCAACAGAGCTGTAAGATAAAACTACAATTCTCCCAAATTCTAATCTGAATTCCTTATGTCCCTTTCTTTTTTCTCTTTCCAAATTTACTTCACTGGATTATACTCCTTGAATAACATCTTCAAACCTTAATGTTTCCGATTACTGCTTATATTTTTACCACCTATATCACTATGGGATTTGAATCGACAATTGTATCTGTGTGCTAATATGGTATGGCAACTCGAAGTGATGTACGTACGTACGGACGAAGTTCTACGTTGTTGATGATTGACTGACTGAATTGATTCAAATAATTGTTCAGCATCAAATCATTTTATTTTAGTACATTTTTTAAAGAACATTCATGAGAAGAAAAGATGGACGGTGGCTAGTTATGGAATCCAGGATGATAGTTTTCTCGTATTTGGAACTCGTCATCTGGATGTACCTGCATTCAAGAGTCGATGTTCATACACATAGTACACATATGTCAACAAGTGATTGATCAATTTCAGTCTTTAACAATAATGAGAAGATATCAGCAAAGAATACCAATGATCCTTTAAGACCATTATTAGCAGATGTGTTCATGGCACATGTTGAAAATCTGACTGAAGACCTAATCAAAAACATGTCACTTTATAAGAGATATGTGGACGATATCTTAGTTGTTTGCGAAAAAAAAGTAGGATATGAACTTTTTATTGAATAAACTTAACATTCTCCAAAACCACATCAGTCTCTCATGTGAAGAGGAGAAGAACGATCAACTTCCCTTTCTAGATATACTTCTGAGTGGACGAGAAGATTGCTCAATCAAACAATCCATTTCTAGGAAACTAATGTGGACAGGTCATTACAGACGGGGTTTGATAAAATGCCTATTCAACAGGCTTGATCGTATTTGTACAAATGACGTCATTGATAATGATATTAGGTTGCTAAATAAAACATTAGTGAAAAATGACTATCCTCTGAAATTCATAAATAGATAG